GCCCTTGGAACGAAGATAAGGATCTATAAAAATGTACTAAACAGGAAAACGGGGCGGGGGGGTGGTGTGGGTGCCGGGGGGAGAGTGTGTAAAAAAGGAGAGCTCTCTTCTGGAGGTAAATGCGATGTACTGTTTATGATCCGGGCGGGGTGGGGGGTGTGGAGGGAGCCCCCGACATTAAAATAAAATAAATACAGCCCACTCTTCCAGCTTCTTTATTTCCCCTTGTGAAACGCGAAAGTCTGGAAGGTTTTAGAAAAATACATAGCCTGGGGAGAAAGTTCCTCCTCCCAATAGCAATTTCCTCCCCCACCTCCCCTCCTGAATGCTTTCTCTCCACTTTTTTTTAGGTCTGGAGCAACTAAATTCTTGCCCTGCCTGAGCAGGGCAGCTCGTGCGGCTGAAATGTCTTTGTTAGGTCAAAGTGGGGGGGCGGGTGGAAGTGAGAGAAGGGGATCATTCACTCGCTCGGCCGCTTTTTGTTTGTTTGTACATTTATTGAAAAATATTAATAAGGGAAGAAAAAAAACCCTAACGGGAGAAAACTTTCCACCTCTCTTGTTGCCTAACTCCTGGCCGCGTGTGCCTGCTTTCAGGTCCAGATAGGAAGCGAGGACGTCAGACCTACACCCGCTACCAGACTCTGGAGCTGGAGAAGGAATTTCATTTCAATCGCTATTTGACTAGGCGGCGGAGAATAGAGATCGCCCATGCCCTCTGCCTGACGGAGAGGCAGATCAAAATCTGGTTCCAAAACCGGAGGATGAAGTGGAAGAAGGAGCACAAGGAGGAGAGCTCCAGCACTCCGGCTCCCACCGAGTCCACGTCAGCAACAGCCTCTGTCGAGAAAGTGGAAGAAGAGGAGGAGGAGGAGGACTAAGGAGTCCCACTCGAGGAAGCGATCTCTCAGTATAATGTATGCACATGACAGTTGGAAAAGCTCCCTTTAAAGGAAAAAAAAAAAGAGAGACTCATTGTTTTTATTTTAAAAAAGAGTTCCTTTTAATAATCATCTTGCAAGCGAGCGTTTGCAAACTTGAAAAGGTTTCTTGAGGTGGTTTTCTAGCCTTCTCTCCACTCTCTCCTACTCCCCAAACCTACCCCTTACCGAAGATTTCGGTAATATCTCCTAAGAGCATCCTACAATAATTTGTTTTTTTTCATTCACCCAAACCTGGGTGGGTTTGTCCAGGAGACATTTAAGTAGGAGAACTGCTGCTTGCACAGATAGCAAACCGTGACCTTCTGAAGTAACTACCTGACTTGATAGTCCCAAACATGTGTAATGGGAAAAGTGCATTAGGCTCACATTAAGAAAAAACTACCTAATTTTGAATAAGTAGCTCTGCACTTATTTTTATTTTCTTTCTTTTTTCCTTATTATTATTGTTAGAAAAGTATCATAACTAACAGCTACACTAACAAAAGGTTAAACAGTGAGCGAGGGGGGAAAAAGATGTTCCACAAACCACTACAATCTACAGCAGTGATTTGTACTACCTATTTTCCAGACTACCTATATAACTTGCTCCGCCTACCTATCTTTGAAAGTATACTGTATTTTAGTAGTCAAAAGAAGATAACATTACTAATGTGAATCGCAAGACGCTTTTAGAAATGTAAGTGTAGTCATTCGAAAAGCACGCATCAATAGCTTTGGTATAGAATTTGGTACCAAAAAGGCTGAATATATTTAAATTTAAAATAATATATTTATTCCAAAGCAATTATAAATGAATACCATATGCTGCAATATATCTTTGGTCTCGATTCTTTACTATTCCGAGTGAGGAAGCAAACACACGCCAATATTTACAAGGCGGTTTAGTATCTTGTGTTGTCTTCTACTTTCGGCTGCCTCTGCTAAAGGCCATTTTCTTATTCTAGGTTGATCTTACTTAATATAGCAGAAGGTGTTATTTGAAAAGTGAATTGAAACGACCATATAAACACATTAAAAAAAAAAAAAGAAAGCAAACTGTCCTGATTATCCGAACGTGTTAACGTGTAATACCGTGAATTTTCCTACAATAGCAGATACTGTATGTTTGATCGGTTTTGGGTTTTTTTTTTGTCATTTATATTCGTCTTGGAGCTCATTTGTAAGATCACGTCATAAATTGGGAAGTATGTAATTAAATTGGAAACTTTGTAGCATGATGTATTGTTAAGAACTCTGTATAAATCCGTCTTGAAGATTTGGCTAAAGTTTATTCAAAAATTGTATGTTACAATGTGTTTCGATGTGTTCGTTGTAAACATTTGGATATGCCGTGTAAGTATTGGAAGTGGAAAAAAAAATGTCTGTGAACTCTCTTTGGAAGTGATACCGTATTCAAGTATCTCCGACGATAATTGTATTTAACGTTACACAGAAAATAAATATTCTTGTTGACAATGAATTGTGTTTCTTTATTAGGGAAACAGTTCGAAGGAAGCATCAAAAAATAATAAAGAAATTAGACCATATATATATTTCCCCCCACCCCCGTAATCAGAAGGAAAAAAAATCCAAGGTGATTAATTGATAGGAATCAGTCAATTTCTCTATCTCGGCTTCGCGATTTTTATTTTTTTTTACCCCTAGCGCAGTTGATTAATAAAGCGGAAAGCCTTCTTTATGGGAGGGCTTCCTTCCATCGTGTTCCCATGTCCTCTCGAAATCATAACCCCAGTCCAGGCGGCAGGCGACCAAGCCGAAATCGCATGTAGTGAAATAAAATTATATCTGATAATGAACTGAAAGTGGGATGCGAAACTTCCGAGTGTGAGTGATCTGGTCGGGTACGTGTGTGGTTTGTGCGTGCGGCTTTCGGGGGACGGGGGGCATCAGAGTGGCATTAAAAAGTGGGGAAATCGGCCTGCTTCAGAAAAACGTATCATTATTGCCGGGTACGACGTAACGTCAAGGAGATCTAGTATTTTCAATATTAAAAAAAAAAAGAAAAAATAAATAAAAAGCTCGCCTGAAAAGTCCCGGGTAAATGCAGGTAGAACTAGGGCATCATTTGCGCTTAAGTTCCCTTTTTCTAATGCACCCCATTCCTGGTCAACGTACTAATTGCAATTTTAATAAAATTAGTACAAACTCCAGGTCTTTTAAAAAAACTCTAGGGCTGCCTTTGTGGTAAGATGGCGCCTCTCTAAGACCTGCCTCTTCTTAGTGATGAGGAAAAGGCCATAAATCCGTTGTTGTTTATGAAAATTTACAACTTTGCAATACAACTTTATGAGTTGTTCGGTTTTTCCATTGGTCGTTGTCGGTCATGTGGATGGTAACCGTGAACATGAACTTTTTTATAATTTCCCTTGCGAGAATAGAGCCGCATTCTTTTGCTGAGCTCTGTCCTGCTTCGGATCTCTCTGGCTTTCAATCCCCATTTCATTTGTTCTTTGTAAGGCAATAGTGAACAAAGTGTGCGGAGGTTCAGCATAAGCAGCCGCCTAGAACACAGATCCGGGATGGCAATTTCCAGTTCCCCCGCTGGAAGGTGTGGCATATTGGATTCAAAGCACTGGCGTGGCAGATTTTCAACTTGCAACCTGGCTAATTTCCTGCTTCTTCTGGCACCAAAAGGAGGGCGATTCGTCTCCTGTGCAGCCAAAGCGACAGCTGTCAAAGTCGCAGGGGCTCTTGTGAGCCAGAACCTAAAAGGTGAGAAATGTATATGACACTACCGTAAGCAGGGAAATATGGTTTAATACGTTTAAATATTAGACATGTGCAATTAAACCAAATGAAAATGTTACCAGCCAAAAATAGAGGTGGCTGCAGCTTAATTGATTTCGATTTAACGAGTGCATGCAAAAATATGCCTAAATAAAATGTCTACTTTCTATTATTTAGCAAGGAAACCGTGGATATTTGTTTATTTCCACTAAGTTTATTTCTGTTTGCGTTTGCCAGGGGATTGTTGTGATATTCAGGTTATTTTATAACAATTCAGGTTTACAGTATCAATCTGAAGATATTTTTTTTCCAGCCCGAGGAGAAAAAAAAATCTAAAACCTCCAAACATTATTTATTTTATTTAACAGCGTTAACTTAAAGTTCATTTGTGGCAGTTGAAATTTAGATGTAAATTTTTTTTGCTATTTCAGAAAAAAAATATATAAAAAAGAAAACAAACAAAAAAACCCCTCCAGTCAGCACAATGTCCTCTGGCTTCCCTGACATGTCCAGGAGAAAGGTTATTTCTACATGGGAGAAACCGCGCGAACACATCTTTAATTTTTCTGTATCAGATGGAGCGCTGCCTGCACGCTCCCCGTTCCCGGCCATGGAAGCAGCGTTCCCGGCGCGGGTGGTTTGCGCG